TGTCACTTTTCCTGCGCACGGGAGGACTGCGATCTGTACGGACTCTTCCACCGGGGCAGATCTTGCCACGTTCACCACGGAGCCCCACTCAAGTCTCTTTGTCCTGCACACTCCGCCCCCGCAGGTACCTGCATTTGGTCAGGTTGCTTCGTCCCCCCCAGTAGCAGAGTCCGGTCAGGTTACTGCATCCCCACCGGTTGCTGTGTCCAGTCAGATTGCTATGTCCGGTCAGGTTGCTGTGTCCGGTCTAGTTGGTGCGTCTTGCTCGTGTCGGTCTTTCACCCACCGGACCGTCTTATGGCACCACCATCTTGGCCACCTATCGATCCCCCGCCTCCGCACTATGGCTAGTCACCGTCTTGTTTCAGGTCTCCCTCGCGTCTTCCCGTCGCTCCCTCCCTCGCCTGCGCCGCCGTGCACTCCTTGCGTCGCCGGCCATCTTCGTGCCACTCCGCACTCCTCCTCCCTTCGTCCAGCCACTGCTCCCTTCCAGACACTCCACTTGGATGTCTGGGGCCCTGCACCTACGCAGGGACCTGAGAGGGAACGCTACTTTCTGGTGGTCGTCGACGACTTCTCCAGGTACACCACATTGTTTCCTCTCGCAAAAAGTCTGAGGTGACTTCTACACTGATCCAGTGGCTTCTAGCCACTGAGGGCACTCGTGGCCGTCGTATCTCCTGTCTCCACTCTGACCGTGGGGGTGAGTTTCGCTCAGGCATTCTTGCCGGATTTTGCGGCGAGCAGGGCATCGTATAGTCCTGGACGCTGCCGGAGTCCCCGCAGTAGAATGGGGTTGCTGAGCGCCGCATTGGCTTGGTCATGGACATTGCCCGCACGTCCATGATTCACGCTCGTGCGCCCCATTTTCTGTGGCCCTACGCAGTTCGCTACGCCGCTCACCAACTGAACCTCCAGCCGCGCGTCTCGCGGCCAGAGGCTTCACCGACCAGTCTTTGGACCGGGTCTCCTGGTGTTGGGTCAGCTTTTCGTGTCTGGGGCTTCCTTGCGCTTGTCCGCGACACCTCTGCGGACAAGCTCTCGGCTCATGCCATCCCCTGTGTCTTCCTTGGTTTCCCGGTAGCCTCGGCCGACTGGTCTTTTACCACCCGCCCCTCCACCAGTTCCTAGACTCCCGTGACGTCCGGTTCGACGAGTCAGTGTCCTACTACATCCGGTAACCCTGTCGAGGTCTCTCGATTCCCCCTCCCCCCCTTTTCCTCGCACCCTCTCTTCTTCTTGCTCCCGCTCCTCCGGTACCCCCACCCCCCCCTGGTCCTGCCCCGTCAGGTATGTCTCACGCTACCCCTATACCCTCGGTCGCGCGTCAGGTAGCGTCTCCTTCCTCGCAGTCCTCCTCACAGTCCCCTCAGCAGCCTGCGGCACTTCCGCGACAGGTTACTATGGACTCGGTTGGTGTTGGAGGTGGAGGTGCAGCCACTGGCGGTACTCGGTCTGGGGGTGCTCGTTAGAGGGGTGCTGGAGTTGGAGGTGCTGGCGCAGGTGGCGCTAGCCCTGGGGATGCTGGAGCTGGAGGTCCTGGCACTGGAGGTGCTGGTTCTGGGGGTGCTGGAGCTGGAGGTGCTGGCACTGGAGGTGCTAGTTCTGGGGGTGCTGGAGCTGGAGGTGCTGGCACGGGAGGTGCTAGTTCTGGGGGTGCTGGAGTTGGAGGTCCTGGCACTGGGGGTTTTAGGACAAGGAGCGCTGGAGCTGGGGACCCTAACCCTATTGGTACCCCTTCTGGGGACACTGGTACTGGGGGTGCTAGTTCTACGGTGACTGGAGCTGGGGGCACTACGTCTGCGGAGAGCACTTCGCCTCCCCACCGCCACGACACGCGTTACCAGGCGGCCTGCCGGCGTGCGCGCGAGGAGCAGGAGCGGTTGGAGCAGGAGCGGCAGGTGTTGCGGCAGTTGGACCTGCTGGAGCAGCAGCAGCAGCGGCAGCAGCAGCAGCAGCAGCAGCAGTAGCAGCGGCAGCCGCAGCAGCACCCGCCGCAGCCACAGCAGCAGCGGCAGCCGCCGTTGCCACCGCAGCCGCAGCAGCTCCCTCTGGAGCGGCAGTTGTTCCTGCCCGTGAGTGGCCTCCGGGCCCTTGGTCTTCCCTCCTCTCCTCCTGTCCGCTCTCTATCTCCTCCTGTGTTTGGTCCTACGTTTTCTCCTCCTGACGCCCGTCCGGCGGTCTGGTCTTCTCCTCCACCGCAGTCTCCTCCTCCTGTTGTCCGTCACTACCGTTCCCGTCCTTGTCCTCCGAGTGCTCGTCCCTCGTCCCCCGTTACCGACCTCCACACTGCCCTCCTTTGTACCTCTCTTCGTCGTTCTCCTCCTCCGGTGTCAGTTCTCCCGTCTCCTCCTTCGTCTTCTCTTCCTGTCCCCCCTATTCCTATCTCCGACTACTACCGTGCTGTTCGCCCTGTTGTCTCCCACGTTCTAGCCACTGGTGTCACCGACCCTCATTTCTCTCCGTCGTCTGTCTCGGCTCTCACTGCCGCTGTCGCTGACTTTGCCGCCGCCAGCCGCCTTTACTACAGCACTCGTATGGTGCCCACTCTGCCTACCCCTCCTCTGTCCGTCGGGGGTGAGTTTGCCCTTGGCTGTGACGTCCTAGAGGACAGGCACTCTGAGCTGGAGTACCTGGCAGCCGCTTCCCCCACTCTCTGTGCCATGCTGCTTTCCCCTGAGGAAGACCCCGACGCCCTTGACATACCGACTCCTCGCACGTACCGTGAGGCAGTGTGAGGGCCATATGCCTCTCAGTGGAAGGCGGCCATGGACTCAGAGTTGGCGGCTTGGAGATCCACAGGCACGTACGTTGACGCAGTTCCCCCTCCCCGGGCGAACATAGTTGATGGCATGTGGCTCTTCAAGGTGAAGCGGCCGCCTGGATCACCCGCGGTGTTCAAGGCGCGCTATGTGGCGAGAGGCTTCTAGCGCGAGGGAGCTGGCTTCAATCAGCGCGAGGGAGTTGGCTTCAGTCAGCGCGAGGGAGTTGACTTCTTTCATACCTTCGCTCCGACCCCGAAGATGACTACACTTCGGGTGTTACTATACGTAGCAGCACAGCGTGACTACGAGCTCCACTCCCTCGACTTCTCCACTGCCTTCCTCTAGGGACGACTGCACGAGGAGATCTGGCTGCGCCGTCTTCCCGGTTTCGCTGGTACTTTCCCTCCTGGGACCCAGTGGAGCATAAGGCGACCAGTCTACAGTCTCCGCCAGTCGCCCCTTGAGTGGCACGACACTCTTCGCTCCACGCTTCGTAATATAGGGTTTCGCCCTTCCTCTGCTGACATGTCACTGTTTGTTCGTGCTGGCTCCACTTCTTTCTTTATACTCGTCTACGTCGACGACTTTGTCTTTGCTACACCAGACAGGGCAGCTCTGGCTGAGGTGAAGTCCGAACTGCAGAAGAGACACACGTGCACTGACCTTGGTGAACTGCAGTGCTACCTTGGCCTGCAGATCACCAGGGACAGAGCCGCTCGCACCATCACGTTGACGCAGCCACGCATGGTGCAGCAGGTCCTTCAGCGGTTCGGGCTTCAGCACTCCACCACACAGCCCACTCCTCTTGCTGTAAACTAAATATCCACCGGCCCCTTCCCCGACGAGCCCTTTGAGCCCAGTGGTCCCTACCCAACGCTTGTTGGCTGCCTCATGTACCTGATGACCTGTACTTGCCCGGACCTCGCCTACCCTCTTAGTGTCCTCTCTCGCTTTGTTGGACCCGGGAGGCACCGTCCTGTTCACTGGGCGGCTGCCGTGAGGGTGGCGAAGTACCTGGCGACTACATCAGGCATGGGGCTTGTGCTTGGAGGGACTCGGCCAGTTGAGCTGACTGGCCTCTGTGACTCTTCTTACGCTGACCACATGGAGACTCGGCGCTCGACCCAGTATTACTGTTTCAGTCTGGGAGCTGGGGCTGTGTCGTGGAGGTCCACACGGTCGTCGTCGGTGGCTTCGTCCAGTGCAGAGGCAGATATCTACGCCGGTGCTATGGCTGCTCAGGAGCTTCGCTGGTTGACCTTCTTGCTCGCTGACCTTGGTGAGCGACCTCGCACTGCTCCGACCTTGTTCGCTGACAACAAGGCCATGATTCTCTTGTGTCGCGAGCCTCGACTGGAGACCAGGGTGAAGCACATCGACGTCCGGTACTTCCTCCTGCGTGAGCTACAGCGACGTGGCCAGGTGCGCCTGGACTTTGTGGCCTCAGAGGCCAACACTGCTGACCTCTTCACCAAGGCCTTGGCGCCTGGTGATTATTATTGGTTTTGTGTGCAGTTAGGGCTTGTTGAGGCAAGTCCTCGGTTGCTGTAGCTTTGTTGCTTAGTCTGCTTGCTGTACTTTACTATTATATATCATAGTGAACTTGAAGTGGCCTTGTGGCCGCTTGCTTGTGCTCGGAATTTGTGGGGTGTCCTTAAGATCCACCCTGAACTTGCTTTGCTTCTTGCATTGACTGGTCTTGTGACCGTTTGTTCACCCTACTTGCTTTGATGCCCCTCACTTAGCCTATGGGGGTGTGTCATATGTTGATATTTGTGATAGGCTATAGTGAGGTGTTCCTTAGTGAGTACAACTCAATTAGGGTTTGCTATTTGTATCACCCACATTCCTAATCTCGTCATTCCATTGCATTCTACCTTTGAGAGTTGGTACCTATGATTGTCTCATATGGTACTAGTCAAGTCATCGCTTCATTTCGGGGTGATTGACGATCAGTGTGACCTGATTTTGACAATGGGCCGTGGCATGCATGGTAACATACCGTAACAAGTAAGGTGTGGATCAAACTATCATCCCATTCCCCTTACAGAGATCCCTTGGATATCAAACTTCTGCTAAACACCCAAGCACAGTGCACGAACTGCAGATTATGTTAGCTTAAATATGGTGTGCCCAGCTAGCAAGAGGTAATCATGCCACGTATGACACATACCCTAACCAAAAGGCTTGTTGTAGGCATTGTACGGTATCATAAGCAAAACTATCCTGAAAGAATCACTTGGAACGGAGACGGGTATCCTCGATCAGCAGGCGCATGAATCGTCTCCGGCGCTTCACAATCCTGACAGCATCCGTGGCGGTCGCAATCCCCATCTCGTCGTTGGTGAATGCCGGCACGGGCCCGAAGAGGCAGTAGGCCAGTATGGCAGCTGCAAGCAACACAACAAAGATACATACATACGTCATGTTAAACACAACAGACACGGACAGAGGCTCTGCAGAAACAAGTGCAATGGGGATGAAACACCAGACATAAATCATGAAAAAAACAGCATATCAGCAACAACATTGTGCATCATACACTGTACAACATACCCAGCTCATGAATGGCGAGTCGATTCGCAATGCGGTTCCGCAGCAGCGCCTGAATGAGAGCCAGCAGCGAGTCCACCACACCCAGCTGCACCGCACCCAACCGCTTCGCCAGCAGCGTAGCCGCAGCACCCCTTGCCCACCCTTCTCTACACGCCACCTCGTCCCCCACACTCGGCGGAATAATAGGCTCGGGGAGGGCTAGAAGGAAGGAGACAAGCGCACGAGCCATGGTGAGGGGGGAGGTTTCGGTGGGAAAGGGTGTGCCGGTGTCGAGTGCGAGACGGATGGGTGCTATCTGAAGCTCCTGAGCTACCGCGCCCAGTGCTGCTGCCTTGGCCGCTAGGAACTGTGTCGACCCTGGCCCGTCCCCTTCCCCTGCCCCTGCCCCTGCTCCACCTCCTCCCCCTCCTGCTGCCATGGCTCCTCCTGCTGCGAGGTCTGCTGCGGCTGCTCCCACTGCCCCTGCGGCTGCACCCACGGCGCCTGCAGCAGCAGCGACAGCCAGAGCAGCGGCAGTGGACAGCCCTGCCACTCCGCCACGACTCAAGGTGCGGGAAAGCTGCGGCAGCACGCCGCCTGCACCAGCACCAGCGCCGACGCCGCTGCTCCTGCTGCTACTGAAGCTGCTGCTGTCGCCGCCGGGGCTGCTGCTGATGCTGCTGCCAGGGTTGCTGTTAAAGCTGCTCTCCGGAGTGGTGGAGAGGGAACTAACCGCAGCAGACAGCACATCGGACGAGAGACTCGCGCTGCGAGCATGCGAGAGCGAGTGAGGGTGCCCGTGCGGGGTGGAGTGCGAGGAGGGGAAGGGGGGCGCACGACTGCTGTCGTCCTGGTCAAGAGAGAGGTCGATGCCGAGAGCGATAGGGTCAAAGGCGGAGGAGATGTCCTGGCCTGAGTCCAGAAGGAAGGTGAGCATTCGAGCCACCTCCTTGGGCACCTCAAACGCGTCTGATGCATGGGGCGCTGCTGCTCGTGCCGCTGCTCCTAACGGCCGATCGTCCTCCCCGCCTGCAGCAGCGGAGTCATTGCTGTCGTCATTATCAGGGTCGGCTTCGGAAGCTTCTGGGATGCTGGCCTGGTGACCGCCAGCAGCAGAGGCAGCTGTAGCCCGGCTGTAGCGGAGGGAGGAGCGCTGGCGTGTGGCAATGGCATCGAGAGAGAGCGAGCGGATGGGGTCCTTGAGACCTGCTAGGGCCTCCAGGCTAGGGGGTGGGGAGGAGGGAAGGGGCAAGGGGGAGGTGGCAGGAGAGATGAGATAGGGAATAACGAATGTGAGGGAACATGGCACATGGGAAGGGAGCCTGTGCGGGCGTTCAGACTAGACGGTGAGGAATGGCGGAGGGGGTTGACAGGAGAAATGCGGTAGGGAAGAACCAAGTGAAGCGGGAAAGGGAGGAGAAAGGGGTTGATGGAGAGGAGAGAGGAGGCAGTCCTTGAGGCTTGGAGTGGGGAATGAGAGAGGAGGGAAAGTGGTGGCAGGAAAAATGAAGGGGTTGACGAGAAGGGCTTGAGGGTAAGGGTGTTGATGGAGAGAGTGGTGTGGCCCCAGCGGCTGAGGGTAGGTAGGACCGCTGCGGCCGTGGTGACCCGCCAAGGATGAGTGTATGCATGGTGCATGCATGCAGAGGGTTGCTGAGAAACAAAAACACCCACCGCAAGCCCCAGCAAGAGGGCACGTAGCTCCCAGAGCACGCCACAAACAGGTCCCCGCCGCCCGCAATCGCGACAACCAGAATCAAATCCAGCAGCCCGCCGCGATCCACCAGCAGATCCACCCTCGTGCCCGGCACAGCCACCCAGGTGTGCAGGCTGAGAGTCACCGTGTGGCCTGGCGCCACTGCCCCTGCTGCTGGTTCTGCCACCACCCATGCCCCGCACCCCCCTGCAGGGCCGGGGGCAGCGGTGTCGGTGCTCCCGGCAGGCGCCACGGAGAAGCGCGCGGGCACCGTGCCAAGATTGTGCAGCTCTATGGTTCGCCGGATTACAGAGGCATAGGGCACCTGGCGGGGGAGGGAAGGGAGGAGGAGAAGAGGGGGTGAGGGTTATGTGGATGAGGGATGGAAGGGTGAGAATCGGGCGGGCACCGTGTCGAGATTGTGGCGTTCTATGATTCGCCGGGCGACAGAGGAGTAGGACACCTGGTGGGGGCAGGAAGAGGGGAGAGCGAGGGGGGGAGAAAGGGAGAGAGAGTAGGGGAGAAGGGATACAGAGAGTTGTTGTGTGATGCTATCACCGCTTCCACTTGCACTGCAAACACCGCCGCCACCGGCACTACTGTGCACCTGCCTAGCCTCAACTTGTGACCATGGTAGATGTGCCTAGCCCAAACATCACACCTTCACACTCCGACTCACCTCTCCGAATTCCACGGCATGAGCGCTGAGAGAGAAATGCGGAATGGCGAGCTGCTGCCGCTCGTCCAGCTGCCGGCACGCCACAGCCACGGCAGCATCAAACCGCTCCCTCTCCACCGCCTCCACCTGCACTGCAAACACCGCCGCCACCGGCCGATGGTCCGACAGCGCCAACTCCGCCCGTGAGTACGACACCAGCTGCAGCGCATCACTCGCATACCCCCCCATGCTGCTCATGCTGCCGCTGCTGGCGATCCCGGTGGTGGTGGTGGTGGTGCTGGGGCTGGGGCTGCTGATGCTGGTGGGGGGGAGGCTGTCAGTGGCGTCACCCGAGTCGTACCAGAGGACCCGGTCGCACCAGGCGGGCGTGCGGCGCTTCTCCCCGTCCTCCTCGTCCTCCCCCACGTACCGGTTGCTGCCCGCTGCGTACTTGTAGGTCGGGGCAAAGAAGATGGGACCCTCTCTCCACCCTGGCAGTGCGCCGCCTTCTGACAACTCCCACCGCAGCTGCAGGAAGGGGGAGGAAAAGGGGGGGGGGGAGGAAGAGGCGTGTGGGAAAAGAGCATTTGGTGAACCTTCCCGCCACCCTGAGAGTGCCCCTCCATCTGGCAGCTCCCACCGCAGCTGAAGGAGGCGGGAGATAGGGAGGCGGGTGGAAATGGCATTTGATGATGTGCTGCAAAGGAGGCTTCTTGCTGCCCTTCTCGTCCTCCCCATCGTCCTTATCTTCGCTCACAAACCGGGAAGGCAGGCAGGGAGGTACCATACCACACTTGAGTTGCCGTATCAGCTCTACACCCCAGTTACCCTACAGGTCCTCCTGGTCCGGAAGCCACACAATAAATGTGCATTTTTGAGAAGTCTAAAAAATGAACCTTTATCTCGTCACAACAGATCTAGCCCAGTTACCCTACAAGTCCTCCTGATCTGGCAGCACGCAAGAGACAGCGGCATACCACTCATTCCCACTGCAGCACCATGCACCCATCCCCTTCCACAGCATCCCACAGCACCGCACAGCACCGCATCTCACCTGGTCGTGCTGCAGCAACGCCTCCCAGTCGCGCTTGGCCAGCAGCGCCCTCGCCTCCAAATCCGGCAGCTCGAGGCGGTAGTTGAGATCGCCAAAGAAGAACACCCGACTGGTGGATGGGGGAGTGGAGAAGAGAGAGGGGGAGGAAGGGTGGTGGTGGTGAGCGGGGAAGATGGAAATCTGGGACGAGACGATGGAAGGCAGCTTCAGGTAATAGTCGAGACGAGATCGCCAAAGAAAAACACCCAACTAGCGAAAGAGGGGACAGAGTTGGGGCTCACTGGTACACAAGGCATTTTGAGAATCGACACCACCACACACCACTCACTCAAGCTCCGTGATGGTCTCTGCCAGCCTGGCAGTCCATGGATCTGACAGCTCTCTGGGGAAGGCAGCACGGTGGAGATTCTTGGAGTTTATTTTTCAGAGGGGCCTGGCATAACAGTGGCCCCCACTGCACACCACCACACACCACCGCGCACCACTCACTCGTGTTCCGTGATGGTCTCTGCCAGCCTGGCAGTCCACGGGTCCGGCAGCTCTCTGGGGAAGGCGGTGCGGCGAAGAATCTCGAGGAAGTCAAATGTGCGGCGGGCAGCGTCGGCCCGCTCCTCCCCCGCGTTGAGATGGGCGCAGATGAAGGTGAATGAGGTTTCATGCACCGACATGCTTATTGCAACAGAGCCCTGCATTGTATGAGAGAGGGTTTAGGAAGGAGGTGTATGAGCGAGGTGGTGTGAGAGAGGTGGTGTGAGGAAGGTGGTGTGAGGGCAGCATCGGCCCGCTCCTCCCCCACGTTGAGATGCGCACAGATGAAGGTGAACGATGTCTTGTGCACCAACATGCTTATTTCCACTGAACCCTGCAGCAGAGGAGAGAATGGGGCAGGGAGGGAAGCAGAGCAGGGATGGAGACGGGGAGGAAAGGTGGGAGGAAGGTACCTCAACACAGTTTGCGCACAGATGAAGGTGAACGATGTCTCGTGCACCAACATGCTTATTTCCACTGAACCCTGCAGCAGAGGAGAGAATGGGGCAGGGAGGGAAGCAGAGCAGGGATGGAGACGGGGAGGAAAGGTGGGAGGAAGGTACCTCAACACAGTTTGCGCACAGATGAAGGTGAATGAGGTCTCATGCACCGACATGTTCACTGCCACCGAGCAAGCACTGCTTGTGGTGTGAGGGAGGTGGTATGAGGGAGGTACCACAAGGGAGGTGGCACGAGAGAGGTGGCACGAGGGAGGTGGCACGAGAGAGGTGGCACGAGGGCGCATTGAGATGCGCACAGACGAAAGCAAGTGACTTTTCATGCACCAACACACTCAACTGTCACCCACCAGGTTCCGCAACATAGCAGAGGAGGTGAGGAGACAGGGTTGCAGTCATGAGCGCAGCCTGGCAAACGCTCACGCGCATTAGCAGAAGCAGCATTAGCAACAGCAATGGGGCATTTGTTGGATTTGTAAGACGTCTGCAGCCGGGCTTCATAATCAGTGCAGGTCCTTGAACCTTGGGACGGGAGGTGAGGCAGCCATTGCAGCAGCAGTTGCACCAGAAGTAGGGGCATCAACAGTGGGAGCAGCAGGAGTCAGCGGGTGGAATGTTTGAGGGTTCACGAAAAGATTATTTCTAGTGTCTATGGTGGCATCTCTTCCACGTTTCCTTCCCCTTTCTCTTCTCGCTTCAACTCCCATTCTCATTTTCCCTTTCCCCTCAATTCTCGTTCCCTTTCCCCTCCCTCCTCCCAAATCTCTTCCTCTCCCTCGTCCTCTCCCCCTAACCTCTCTCTTCCTAGCCCCACACTCTCTCTTCTGCTCCCACTTCCTGCCCTCCGCTCACTCTTCTCCTCCCTCTTCCCTGCCCTCCACTACCCCTCGTGCTCCTCCCTCTTTCTCCATGCACTGGCTAATGCCGGCTACTACTGTTGTTGCTTCTCATGCTGCTGCTTTCACTGTTGCTGCCCCTGCAGCTGCGGCTGCTGCAGCGGCTGCCTCACCCGCCGTCCCAAGGTTCGAGGACCTGCACTGATTACGAAGCTTGACAGCAGACGTATTTAAATCCAACAAATGCCCCATTGTTGTTGCTAATGATGCTGCTGCTGCTAAACATGAGCGCAGCCTGGCAAATAACCTAACCTCCGGGCATCTGCTTCCTTCCACAAATGGCCAAAGCCAAGATGTTGCCTGATGCAAGTCAGCTATTTATCTCTTTCAACCGCACTGCACTGCACTCAGCCGCTCACCTTGTTGCCAAGAATTCCCATGAGCCCACAGCCCACAGTGCTGGCCTTGACGCTATGAATGTGCCTCCTCAGTCCCTTTCGTGCCCACACCATCAGATAGACCCCCACCATCTGCCGCCCTGCCACTTTCACATAAGCCTCCTCCACCTCTCCTCCCTCCCACTCCTCCTCCATCTCCCCTCCCCTTCCCTCCTCTTCCCCTCCCGTCGCCCCATCCACTCCTGCGCCTTCCCCTTCCCCAGACTTCCCCCCTACCACCCCTCCCTCACTCGCCTGCACATCCCCCCTCTCCTCCCCGCCATCGCCACCCCCCTCCCCACCATATCCACCTCCATCTGCAAAGATGGGCTCAGCAGGAGTGAGCGGCACACTGATCAAATCTTCGGGCAGGATCTTATCCAGGGGTGCCTTATCTGCATGGTCCCCCTGCTGCAGAGCATCCCCCTCCCACTCAGGTGTGGCAGGAGCAGCAGCGCTAGAATCAGCTGGACTCATGGAGGCTGCAGCAGCAGCAGCAGCAGCCGAACTCTCATCAAGTGACCCTTTGGGGGCGTCAGAAGCAGAGGAGGGGAGGCGGAAGCTGCTGGTGTGGAAGGAGAGGTCGCTGCTGCTTGTTAGAGACGGGGGAGGTGTGGCCCTCCCCTGCACACCGCTACTACTGCTCACACTGCTTGTCTCATCATCACCAGCCCTGCTACCCCCCTCTGTCACTGCCTGCTCTGCCCCATCAACCACCCCCTCTATGGGTTCATCAGCCTTGCTCGAGTCTCTGGAAGCAGCACTGCCAGCAGCCTTGGCAGCAGCCTTCTTGGCAGCCTTGGCAGCGGCGGTGTTGAGCTGGCGGCGCACGAGGGCATCCCATTGCCCCACCGCTTCCTCTGAGTCCATCCCCAACACACTGCCCGTGCTCAGCGGGACTATCTCCTGGAAGCTGCAAATGAGAAGGGCACATGGTGGAACGGGAAGGGACGAGCACACAAATGAGAGGGCGGGAATAGCCTCCTCTGAGTCCATCCCCAACACACTGCCCGTGCTCAGCGGGACTATCTCCTGGAAGCTGCAAATGAGAAGGGCACATGGTGGAACGGGAAGGGACGAGCACACAAATGAGAGGGCGGGAATAGCCTCCTCTGAGTCCATCCCCAACACACTGCCCGTGCTCAGCGGGACTATCTCCTGGAAGCTGTGGTAAGCGAGGAGTCATGGGCGCGAAGGAAGATGCAATGAGTCAGGGACTCCCGTCTGAGTGCTTTCATTTCATCCCCAGCAGCACTCTGCCCACCACGCTCAGCAGGACGGCATGTGGGCGCAAAAAAGGGGTGAACCCAGGTCACACGCATGACACAGCACAGCACAACCCCGTGAGGGGTGATGCGAGCAGCAAGGGTGATGGTATGGTAGCAAGCACCAACCCACTTGATGGCAATGATATCTGCTGGGTGCTGTAGGTGTAGCGAGGGGAGAGACAGTTGTGAGGGGGGCCAGGTGGGGAGGAGAGCGGCGTGCAAAACAGGCCACGGGCATGGCATAGCAGCACGGCTGTGTGAGCCTGTGAGGGCAGGAAAGAGCAGTTAGCGCCCAGCCAATGGCGATAATGCCGGCTGGGGGCTGCAGGGAGAGCAGGCCGGCTGGGGGCTGCAGGGAGAGCACGTCCGTGAGGCCCAGGTGGGCAGGCGAGGCGTGGAGCATGACAGGCCACAGACATGGCATGGCATGACATCGTATGGCATGGCATGGCATGGCACGACATAGTATTTTGAGGACAGCAAAGAGAAACAACCCACCCAATGGAGATGATGTCGGCGGGTTGCTGCAGGGAGAGCCAGTCCGTGAGGTCCAGATGGGCAGCAGGGGCATGGAAACACATACCACAGACATGGCATGGTAGCTCGAGGGTATGAAAGAGCAGACACCCAATGGTGAAGACCACCCACCCAATGGCAATGATATCGGCGGGTTGCTGCAGGGAGAGCCAGTCCGTGAGGTCCAGGTGGGCAGGCGGGTCCGATATGCCTGCCACGTTCCATGTAGCTGTCACCACTCTGGGGGACGGGCAGGCAAGGCATGAGCATGGCATGGGCATGGGCAGATGAGGGAAGCAAGTAACAAAAATGTTGCAACTTATCCATCTTTTCTCTGAAGAAAGAGTTGGCCCTCGGCCCTCATTTTGGGTCGGATATGCAAGCCACGTTGCATGCGGCTGTCACCACCCTGAGGGAGCATGGGCATGGCATGGGCAGGGCCTGGGAGACAGATGGAAGGCGGCAGCAGAGGTGTTCCTCATCTGAATCGGATTTTGCTTCCAGTTGGAGAAGTTTTTCCTAGTCAGGCACCTCAGTTCGTTGGAGCCTGGTGCGCATGAGGTTGCTCATGAGCCTGGTGCGCATGAGGTTGCTCATGAGCCTGGTGTGCATGAGGTTGCTCATGAGAGTGCGCACGATAGCACGGGAAAAGGCAGGGGCCCACCCAAGAAGCGCACCTGAGCTCTCTGGTGCCTAGAAAGTGGTGCCTGAGGGCGCGCAGCTCGTCTCTGAAGTTGTTGATCCGCAGCAACGCTCTCAACCGCTCCGAACCTGCCATCGGGCACGGATGTAGTAGAAAAATGCGTTGTATGGCATTCCAATCATGGCTTCACACTGTGTATCAATCAAGGCACTGATTTATGGCAATGCTTGCGTTGTATTGCATTGCAGGTGTGCATTCAACGACGAGTTTGACGAGAAACGGCATTCCAGGTTTCGCATTGTACAGCTGAGGGTTAGAGACAAAAGGGAAGGGAAGGGCAGAAAACAGGGAAAAGCCTAAAAGGGCATGTGGGAAGGAAGATTGTGCGAATGAGCATCACATGGGTTGTGGTGTGTGCTTGTGTGCACACGCGTGCTCGTGTGTGTGTGCACGAGCGCGCACGCCGCGCGCCGCGTGCGTGCGTGTGTGCGAACGCGCGCGCGCGCAGGCGCGAGTATGCGTGTGCACTTGTGTGTGTGAGAGAGTGTGAGGGTGAGAGAATACCAAGAGGCAGAGGTTCCTTCCAGACGTCACAACTGAGCAGCTCCGAGGCCTCCTCTCCATCTGGTAGCTCTGTTACATCCCGCATTGTGAGATGAGACAGGACGTTGTTCATCAAACAACGGCACATGTCGTTCACATTGCAATCCGGAAATTGCCACAGGCAACACAGCAGCGCATGTCATGGCGACAGACAGAGCACAGCATTGGGAGGAGGCAAATGCAGCACCAGAGTATATGAAATTTCTAGTTTCGATTTTCACCAGCAAAATCAGGCGCAGAATGAGAATTGCAGCATAGGCGGAAGAGCTCAACGCAGCACCTGACGCGACGGAATGCCAATCAACCAGCTGTTACCTCAGCAGAGAAGGTGAAATCCGTTACCTAGACAACAAATGCCAATGCTTACGACGGAGTAACACGGCCCGGGAGCACCGGATAGCCCCCACTACTCTGAAGTCCGCTCATGTTGCATTTCGACGGGCCAATGGGACCGCATTTATCCCAATCGTCGCATTCCATGCGGCCTTCGTTAACAACGACAGTCGCATTGAATGCGAACGTCGCAAACAGAGTTCAAACCCGCATACCTGATAGGTCGACCTCTGGCGAGTACTCGTCCGCGTAAAATTCGGGCTGGACTTGCCCTAGACCCAACCAGCCGAGCATGACGACGTTCGTTAGGCTATAACCGAAGAGAAAGGACACGAGAATAATACAGCGTGCAGGACGAAATAGCATTCACTTTCTCCGCGGAGCGAATGGACTGACAAGTCACGAGCTCCTGACCGGGCTCCACGCCGGCATGGATGGCTGGCACATTTGCACTCGGGCGTCGCTTGGTGTGCGTGTCTGGGGTCACCTCTTGCAATTGGCAATCCCTTCGGGGTGGTGAAGTGGAGGGGGGATGTGTTGGTTTATGCGATTCAGTGCGATTCCACGCGTTACAGCGGTTTCATTATTTACCGTTATGGAGCGCAACGCACCGAACGGAACCATGGTACTTGAAACGAAAGCGAACGGCACTGCATCTCGTGAGTTGTGAGCAGCACCTGTTGAGCTTGGTTCGTGAGTGTATGCAACTCCCGCCTTTTGACCCGAGAGCCGAACTTCGGGTCTGAATTGCGTCTTGTTTGCGTTCGACCGCGTTCGTCACGCTACCAGGTTCAACCGAAACCGATCGCCAACCGAAAACAAGCACACCACTCTCAGTGCACTGAATGCAAGAAACTCCCTCAACCAGACAGAACCGAAGCGTTATGAACGCAAACCGAAGAGCGGAAGGTGTTGGGTTGGGTTTCGTTTCTGGGTGCCTTGACACGACAATGGAACAGAACGGCAATATCGAAAGCTCTTATCAGCGAGACGTGAACGAGCGTCACGAGAGAAGCGACTAGCTAGAGTTCTAGATGCTGCTCACGCTGCGAGTCTATGTTCTAGCTAGCTTTCCGAGCCCGGCGACTTTCTTATCTCCGATTCACTATCGCACTGACCACATCAACGAAGTTCCACTTCGCCAGTTTGCGTAGATCGTTCTCGCGCTGCTCTTACAACGACCGTACATATCCTTGACGTTTTGTGAACGTGTTTCTGTCAATCGGCGTTCTGCACTGCGACTGGCAGCGTTCACCGTTTTCCAGAGATGGGAGCGTTGTTCTCGAAGCGCAAAGCCGTTACCGATGTCGATAAGGCGATACTGTCGCTGCGAACGCAGAAACGGAAGCTAGCGGAGTACCAGAAGAAGGTAGGAGCGATCCGCTTGCCGTGATCCCACGGTATTTAAACATTCAGAAAAAACAGCCGGTACCAGAAGGTGGTGGGATCGATCCGCTTGTTATTATCCTTTGGTATTTGGATATTCGGGGAAACCATTTGGTAACAGAAAAAGGATTGATGCAGCCCGTTGATATTAGCCGTTATTATTTGAAGCTTAAAATAGCCAACTATATCAAGGAACGTCAGGGTAGATCTTCACGTGCAATCCTTCTCTTGTTTCTACAAAATGTAACCAGCGTAAACATTTGCTGTTACATTCGTTTCGTTCAAACCTCAACTCCACTCCAGACGGACGCAATGTTTTCTATCCCCGTTTGAAGGTCGGTGCAGTTATCGAGCGGGAGCAGGAGGTGGTGCGGCAGATGATCAAGGAGGGCAAGAAGGACCGCGCGCTGCTGGCGCTCAAGAAGAAGAAGCTTCAGACGGACGCGCTCGCGAAATCAGACGCGTGGGTGCTGCGAGTGGAGCAGCAGGTGAGGGATGAGTTGACTTTGAGGTAAGTAGATTAGGGTGGGTGCTCGCGCTGCTGGCGGCGAAGTCGGACGAGTGGTGCTGCGAGTGGGAGCAGCAGGTGAGCGCTTTTAGAACGGAAAAGTGTCTTATGGAGCGAGGGAGGCTTGATTGGCGGGTAGGTAAGAGTGATCCGAAGAGGGAAAGAAGGAGGTGCAAAATGCGATGATTGACGCTGAAGAGGAAGCAGGTCTAGGGCGACGCGCTGGCGACTTTTGAGTCGACTCAAAAGTCACCTCGCTGAAGAGGAAGCAGGTCTAGGGCGACGCGCTGGCGGAATCAGAAGCTGTGGGCGCTGCGAGTGGAGCAGCAGATGAGCACCTATCTAACTGGACACGGGGTGGGGGAAAGGGGGAAGGGGGAGGGGGCAGGTGGAGGGGTGGGAGGGGCGCGGAGTGGGGGGGTTGGGGGGGTGGGGTGGTGCGGGGTGGAGGGGTTGGGGTTGTGCGGGGTGGAGGGGTTGGGGGGGTGGGGTGGTGCGCCTGGGGATCCATGGAGCAAGAGAGATCACCCCTCCCTTTGTACTCCCCTTCTTTCTCCCTTACTCTCTCCATTACTCTCTCCGGTTCTCTCCCCGTCTTTCACAGCTTGCAGGCATCGAGATCACAAGTCGGCAGGCTCAAGTGTTTGAGAGCCGCAAGGCGGGGCACATGGCGATTCAGGAGCTGCAGAAGGAGATGAGTTCGAATTATTCACTCCTCTCTTTTCCCTCCCTTACTCTCTCTCCCTCGCTTTCAACGTCTCTCTTTCACAGCTTGCAGACATCGAGATTACGAGCCGGCAGGCTCAAGTGTTTGAGAGCCTGAAGGCGGGGCACATGGCGATCCAGGAGCTGCAAAAGGAGATCAGCCTGGAGGACGTGGAGAAGCTATTGGGGGAATCGGAAGACGCCAAGGCGTTCCAAGACGTGAGTTCATAGGGCAGTTGGTGTAAGGCGCCTATTTGAAGCAGGGGTTTGGGGAGGGAGGTGAAGGAGTCACGATTTTTCCAGCTGCTGCAGAAGGAGATGAGTCTGGAGGACGTGGAGAAGCTGCTGAGGGAGTCGGAGAACGCCGAGGCGTTCCAAGATGTGAGTGCATTGCAGGGCAGAGCAGGTTGAGTTGAGTCAGATCGCGACTTGAGGCACGGGGAAAGAGGGAGTCTTGGGTTAGAACAATTCAGGGGTGTTGCAGAAGGAGATGAGTCCAAAGGACGTGGCGAAGCTGCTTCGCAAATCGGAAGACGCCAAGGCGTTCCAAGACGAGAGTGCGTTGTAGAACAAATAAAGCAGAGCAAAGCAGGTTGAGTAGGTTACTGAGGCACGTTGAGCAATTTTTTAGGCACCTCAAATGGCACAGGCATGCCTGAGGCGTCACGTGCGATGCTTTCCTCCAGTTCACGCCCAGCTGACGGCAACAGCGCCAGCACTATGAGGCGCAGTTCAGCCTAGCGCACCCCTATTGCACTGATTTCCATTCCCTCGATCAACAGGCCTGATGCGACACTACTCTTTGCAAGGATGCGACGCCAGTGCAGGGTTAACAGGATGGAGCGACGGCAAAGGCGGCCCAAGATGCAAGCACGCAGGCGGGGATGGCGGAGGCAAGCACATTGCCGTGTGTTGTTTCGCCGCCGCTGCCAGGCGAAGCCATGTGCGTGCATCGGGTGCTCAGGATGAAACCCGGGAGGATGCTCTCTCAGCACGCGGAGCAGGCCACCAGTGGCGGCGGCCGCTGCTTGTGCTTGCGCGTGTTGAGAGAGCATCTTTCCGGGTTTCATCTTGAGCGCCCGATTCTTGCACATGGCTTCGCCTGGCAGCGGCGGCGACACAACACATGGCATTGTGCTTGCCTTCGCCATCCCCGCCTGCGTGCGTGCATCCCGTGCCGCCTCTGTCGTCGCTCCATCCTGTTGACCCTGCACTGGCGTCGCAACCTTGGAAAGAGTAGCGGTCACACCAAGCGCGTTGGTCGAGGGAATGGAGATTGGTGCAAAAGGGGTGCACTGACCTGAACCGCACCTCCTAGTGCTGGCGTTGCTGCCGTCAGTTGGGCGCGGACTGGGGGAAAGCAAAGCAGAGCAGGTAGAGTAGGTTACTGAGGCACGTTAAGCAATCGTTTAGGCACGTGTCAGGGCACGGAGCAACACAACACAGGAGCTGAGCTACAAAAGAAGATTAGTCTGGAGGACGCGCAGTGGAGTGGTGAAGTGAATGGCACATGTATCGTCGGATGTGCATGGCACATGCATGGTCGGATGTGCATGGCACATGCATGGTCGGATGTGCATGGCACATGCATGGTCGGATG